ACCCTGCATGGAGGAACACCACGCGCGAGGGGCAATGGACTGCCGCGCGCGCGCGGCAGCCCACGCGCATCTCGCATGACAAATGCGCGAGGGGCCAGGGCCGCCGCGCGCGCGGCGACCCACGCGCACCCTGCATGGAAAAATACAACGCGCGAAAGGGCAAGGCCGCCGCGCCCGCGGAGGCCGACGCACATCTTGCGCGGAAACGGACACACACACACACACACACACACACAGTGCGCGAGGAGCCATGGGCCGCCGCGCGCGCGGCGGCCCATGCGCATTCTGCATGGGACAACACAACACAACGCGCGAGGGGCAACGGGCGGCCGAGCGCGGCGGCCCCCGCGCACGCTGCACAGAGGAACTCATCGCGCAAGGGGCCAGGGCCTCCGCGCGCGCGGCGGCCCGCGAGCACCTTGCCGGAAACGTGCCATGCGCGAGGGGCCACGGGCCGCCGCGCGGGCGGTGGCCCACTCGCGCCTTAAATTGAAAAATGCGCGGGTGGCACAGGGCCGCCGCACGCGCAGCGGCCCACGCGCATCCTGCATGGGAACGCGCGCCGCGAGAGGGGCCAGGTTCGCCGCGCGCGCGGCGGCCCACGCGCATTTTGCATGGAAACACACCACGCGCGAAAAGCGCGCGGCGGCCCACGCACATCTGGCATTGCAAAACAAAACGGGCAAACCAAACACCGTGCGAAGGGGCAATGGGCCGCCGAGCGCGGCGGCAGCCCACGCGGGTCTTGCACGCAACACAACAACACGCAAATGGCAATGGGCCAACGCGCATCGGGCATGGCAAAACAGAATGCACGAGGGGCCATGGACCGCCGCGCGCACGGCGGCCCACGCGCATCCTGCGCGGAAAAACACCGCGGGCGAAGGGCCAGGGCCGCGCGCGCGACCGCGCGCACCTCGCCAAGGGAGAAGACAACACAAAACAATACAAGCCATAACACAATGTGAATGTTACTTTCTTTGTTTATATATATACCTGTTTAAATACACATGCCCATGTAATACACATAATGATAAACAGAACAAGAAAAACGCGAGCGGAAATGGGCCGTCGCGCGCGCGGCCCACGCGCGCATTGCATAGAACAAACAACACCATGCGCGAGAGGGCCGTGGGCCGCCGCGGCGCGCGGCAGCCCAGGCCTCTCGCGAATGGATTTCCCACGCGCATATTGCATAATACACATAATGATAAAAGAACAAGAAAAACGCGAGGAAAAATTGCATAGAACAAACAACAAAGAAGCCCAAAAAATAATGGAGAAAGGGGAAAAAAAAAAAAAAAAAAGGAAAAAAAAAAAAAAAAAAAAAAAAAAAAAAAAAAAAAAAAAAAAAAAAAAAAAAAAAAAAAAAAAAAAAAAAAAAAAAAAAACGCGAGGATCATGGGCCGCCGCGCGCCCGGCGGCCCACGCGCATCTTGCATGGAAAAAAATACAATACGCGAGCGGCAATGGGCCGCCGCGCGCGCGGCGGCGCGCATCTTAACTGGAACAGCGCGACGCGCGAGAGGACACGGGTCGCCGCGCACGCGCGGCGGTCCACGCGCATCACGCATGGAAAACAACACAACGAGTAGTAAACGGCCATCGGCCGCCGCGCGCGCCGCGGCCCACGCGCAGCTCGCATAAAAACAACAACGCGCGCGGGCACACGGGCATCTTGGGGCCGACGCGCATCGCGCATGGAAAAACAAACGGGGGCTGGCAATGGGCCGCCGCGCGCGCCGCGGCCCACGCGCATCGTGCATGGAAAGCACCATGCGCGAGGGGCCACGCGCATATTGTATAGAAAAATCCGCCGACCCTGTCGGCGTGTGTGAGGGGCTTGTCCGTTCGACTCGTCATCTCCGTCATTCGTTAGTCGTCGTCTCTGTCGTCTCCTTTCCCCTGCGCCCCCCCTTTCCCTGGGCCCGTCGCCGCTCCCCTCTCCGTCCCCAGCGCCTCCTCCTCAAGCGCGCCAGCCAAACCGAACTTGAGCAACGTCGTAATTGAGTCGAAGGGAAGCCCCTTCCCTTTGATCCCTCCCCCGCCGGGAGGGGGGGGGGGGTCCCGGGGGGGGGTCCCGGGGGGTCCCGGGGGGGGGTCCCGGGGGGGGGCGCGCGTCAGATACGACGCCCCCTCCCCGGGGATCCCGGGGCCCAGAAAAGCCCGTCGCCGCTCCCCTCTCCTTCCCCAGCGCCTCCTCCTCAAGCGCGCCAGCCAAACCGAACTTGAGCAACGTCGTAATTGAGTCGAAGGGAAGCCCCTTCCCTTTGATCCCTCCCCCGCCGGGAGGGGGGGGGGGGGTCCCGGGGGGGGGTCCCGGGGGGGTCCCGGGGGGGGGTCCCGGGGGGGGGCGCGCGTCAGATACGACGCCCCCTCCCCGGGGATCCCGGGGCCCAGAAAAGCTCCAAGACGGGCCAAGAGTGCCCCAAGAGGCCTCCAAGACGGTCCAAAAGGGCCCCGAATCGCCGAACGACTTGTCCAAGACGCCTTGACGGACTCCAGACGACCCAAGAGCCCTGCAAGACGCTCCAAGAGGCCTACCAGGAGCACTCCCAAGACGGCCCCAAGAAGCTAAATTCATTGATTTCCTATTGTTTTTTGAATGATTTTGGCGTTCTCGACTCTTCCCCTTCCCGACGCTCCAAGACACGCCAAGAGGCCCCCAAGATCGCCCTAAGACGGCCCAAGAGGCCTCCAAGAGGGTCCCAAAACGGCCCAAGAAAGCGCAAAGACGGCCCAAGACGTCTCCAAGACGGTCCTAGAGGCGCCCAAGACGGCTCCAAGAGGGTGCCCAGATGCGGGACCCGACCTGACATGTCGAGCTCTCAGCCCTGAGAGGCTCCCAGGAGGCCCCAAGAGGCTCCAGGAGGCCCCCACGAGGCCCCAAGGAGGCCCCCAGGAAGCTCCAAGAGGCCCCCAAGCGACTCCCAACAGGCCCCCAAACTGCTCCCCAGAGACCCGAAAGAGCGCTCCAAAGAGACCCCACGAAGCATCCCAGGAATCTCACCCACGTCAGCGTCGTCGTCGTCGTCGTCGTCGCCGCCGCCGTCGTCGTGTGACAGCACACCCGACGACGACGATGACGACGACGACGACGACCACAGCGCACTGAGCCAGCCCGCGCCGCCCCGCCGGTGGGCCGAGCCGCGCCCGCCGCCCCCATGAAGGCGGCACGGGCGCCCCTGGCCGCAACCTCACGCCTCGTGAGGCCTCCAGGGTCGGCGGCACCGGCCGTAAGGCCTTCGCAATAACACGCGCGAGACGACGCTATGGGTTGCCGCGCGCGCGGCGGCCCACGCGCATCTTGCGTGCAATAAGCACAGCGCGCGAGGAGCAAGGGCCGCCGCGCGCGCGGCGGCCCATGCGCATCCCGCATGGAAAAAACAGCATGCGCGAAGGGCTATGGGCCGCGGCGCGCGCGGCGGCCCACGCGCACCTTGCACGCAAACAGCACAGCGCGCGAGGGGCCAGGACCGCCGCGCGCGCGGCGGCCAACGCGCATCTCGCTTGGAAAGACACCATGCGTGGAGGGCTATGGGTCGCCGCGCGCGCGGCCGCCAACGCGCATCCTGCGGGGGAAAAAAAAGAATGCACGAAGGACCAAGGCCGCGGCGCGCGGGGCGGCCCACGCGCATCTCGCATGGAAAACTACAACGCGCAAGACGCGATGGGCCACCGCCCGCGCGGCGGCCAACGCGCATCCTGCAACGCGCGAGGGGTTAGGGCCGCCGCGCACGCGGCGGCCTACGCGCATCTTGCACGCAAACAACACAGCGCCCGAGGGGCCAGGGCCGCCGCGCGCGCGGCGGCGCACGCGCATCTCGCATGGAAAAGAACAACGCGTGAACGGCAATAGGCAGCCGCGCTCGCGGCAGCCCCCGCGCATCTTGCAAGGAAGACACCACGCGCTAGGTACATGGGCCGCCGCGCGCGCACAAGCCCACGCGCATCCCGCATGGAAAAGCTCACCGCGCGAAGGGCCATGGACCGCCGCGCGCGCCCGGCGGCCTTGGCCCGTTCTGCGTGGGACAACGCGCAGCGTGCGAGGGGCGCGAGCGGCGGCCCTGGGAAAACGCGCACCTCGCGAGGATAAGACCGCCGCGCGCGCGGCGGCCCTGGCCCATTCTGCACGGGACAACACACCATGCACGAAAAGCGAGGGCCGCCGCGCACGGCGGCCCTGGCACACTGCGCGGGAAAACGTAACATTGCCCGAAGGGCAAGGCCGCCGCGCACGCGGCCGCTATCGCCCATGTTGTGTGGGAAGCGTACGCACGTACACTGTTCCAGTAGGACGAAAACTACGTATTCAGCGACCAGAGCAGGCTATACATCTACACGCAATAAGTGCGAATACATTATTCAATGCATGCGCATGCGTGTACATGTTCACACTACACACGTATGTTCGCTCTCTGTGAAATATTTGTCCAGGGGGACAGTTCAAAAATTGGTTATCCGGTAGCGTATTAATGACACCCGGGATCTGGGGGAAGGGAGGGGGGGTCATCATTTTTTGACAGGTTTTTGACATTAGTCCTCCTCCTCCTCCTCCTCCTCCTCCTCCTCCTCCTCCTCCGCCTCTGCCTCCGCCTCCTCCTCCTCCTCATCCCCCTCCTCCTCCTTCTCCTCCTCCTCGTCCTCCTCGTCGTCCTCATCCTTACTCTTGGAGCCTCCTACTCTTTACTCCTGGAGCCTCCTTCTTCGCAGAGCCCCAATTCGGCCTCAACCGCTGTGCGAATTCAAAGGTCGCCAAGCAAACTGGGAATACCAGACGAGCAGACATGCGATAGACAAACTCATGCACTGAACCGTGGCCTGAAAGATGAGCGAGCTTCCCGCACAAATATGGCTCTCGCCCTAGCGCCGCGTACACTCGCCTTGAAAGCTTGCGTCGTCGTCGTCGGACCGTCGTCGTCGTCCTCGTCATCGCCGTTGCCCCTCGCCGTCGTTGCACTCGCCATCGTCGCCCAGAGAGGCGGGGCTAGCACGGCGGCCTGCTCGAGCAGGCGCACGTAGCGGCGGCGGGACTCCCTGGCAGCCGCACGGGGGTCGGCCGTCAGGCCTTCGGGGGGAAGGGGCAGGGCCGGTGTCGCGACGGCAGGGTGCGGGCAGACAGAGAGGATGCGGGCACGAGAAGATGGGGCGAAGCCGCGGAGACCGGAGGGACGAGAGAGGAGACGGATAACGAGGATGAGGGGCCGAGGGCAAGGATGAGGAAGATGAGCGACCGCGGGAGGCACGGTCGCTCGGTCGCTCAGCCGCCCCCGCCGTCTGGTTGTCAGTCATCAGCTGTGGATCGTTTGTCAGTCGTCGTAGTCGCCGCCGTCGTCGGCCTCGTCGTCTTCGACGTTGTTAGCTTGTTCCCAGAACGGCCCATTATCGAGTCAATGAGTCCGCCACTCCTCATCCTCGCCGCCCTCCTCCTCCTCCTCCTCCTCCTCCTCCTCCTCCTCCTCCTCCTCCTCCTCCTCCGCCTCCTCCCTGCTCCTCACTGCTCCTCACTGCTCCTCACTCGTCCTGGCCCCTTCTCGTCTTTCCCCCCCTTCCTCTTCCATCCCTCCCTCCTTGCCCCCCCCTACCCCCGCATCCTCCCCCTGCTCTTCCTCACTCATCGTCTGTCCTGCTTCTTCTCCCCCTCCTCCCGACACCTCATCCTCCTGCAAGACTTGCCAGGGAGATGGGGAGATGGGGAAAGTAGGCGTGAGGAAGAGGTCAGATAATGAGAAAATCAAAAAGGCTCTCGACTGCGCAAGCTGGTCTCGAAAGTTGTAGAGTGTTCCAATGGGCTCTGCGTAGAGCTTTCCAAGGATTCTAGGTGGAGGAGGAGGGGGAGTGAGGAAAAGCATGAGTGGGTCAGGAAGAAGAGGGGACAGGGAGGGAGGGGGGGCCATCCCCGGGAGGTCTTGGAGGCAGTCTTGGAGCCCTCTTTGGGGCTCTCTCGGGCCCCTCTTGGAGGCCCCCAGGCCCGGCATGGGGTCTATACCCAGCTCCATACCCGGACCTCCGTCCGTGGTGGTCAATTTTCGAAACATGGATCCCCGGAGGTCTGGAACCCTTGCCGGGCACAATCGGAAATCTTCTGACCCGGGTCAATCCAGACCCGGGTCAGCAGGAAACCAAAAACTGCAATGCAGGACAAAAAAACTGCAGCGCAGGGCTTCGCAAACCCGGGTCAGCCAATAGGCGCGGCCGCCTCGCGGCCACGAGCGGCTCCCTAACCCGGGTCAGCCAGAGGGGGCCTCCGCAGGATCCTGCAGGACCTAGTGCCCTGGCTGACCCCCATTTGCATTGACCCCCGTCTCAAGGCCCCCGACACAAAATCTTGAACTAGCCGCCGCTTCCTGACGGCCCCAGGACCCCACACGGCCCACAGAAGCCGAAAAGGCATGTAAAAACGTCCGTCGTGACTTTTGTCGCAGCGCGAGGAGGCCTGGGCACGTGCTCGAGGTCGTCGAACCTCGAACTTCGAACCTCACCGCCTCCCTCGGGACGATCCGGGCACCCCCCGAACGCTCTCGGCGAGGCGCAGCCGCTGGCACGCGCTCCCAGCCGAGGCCGGAGCACCGCCGAGAAGCGACGAGAACGCCACCGCCCCCCTCGCTGCTCCCGAGCCTGTCCCTCCCACCCCCGACGTTGCCCCCGAGGGGCGCAGCTCCGCACACGAGCTGCCCCCCTCGCCGGCAGCGCGGCCTGGGCCCTCAAGCCTCGATCGTCGGCCCTCGAGCCTCGCGGCCCTCCGCCCTCGAGGCAAGCCGAGGGGGGGCCCGACGCCTGCCGCGAGACGGAGCCAGGACCGGGGCAGGATCGGACAGGGCCAGGCCGGGGATCCCTGAGATCCGGCGGCCCTGGCGGGTGTGCGGGGCGGCGCGGTCGTTCCAGAGCGCTCCAGAGCGCTCTGAGAGAGCGCTCCGAGGGCTCTGGAACGAGTTATCCTGGTCCTGGCCCCGGCCGGTAACGGGTGTCTGGCGACCTCAATCCTCGACTCTCTAAGACTCTCGACCAGACCAAACACTTGGGGCCCAACTCGGCGGGGAAGAGCGATGGCGGGGAGGGCACTTCCTCGATAGGGGTGCGTCCGGATAGCCCACGTGCTCCCCTCCTTTCCGAGCGGCCTGATTTTTCAGGGGAAGCGCTGTGGATGGAGGAGGAGAATATGCAGGAGGAAGAGGGGGAGGCGGAGGCGGAGGAGGAGGAGGAGGCGGAAGAGGAGGAAGAGGAGGAGGAGGAGGAGGAGGAGGGGCGAGAAATCGCCTGCGGGCGCCGTGATGTTTGCTCACGGAGTGGACCCCTGGAGCTCTCGACCCCTTCCCTAAAACTGGCGTGCCATCCCGAGCCGTTTCGTTTGCTGTTCCTGGGCCGCAGTAAAGCCCGCCGGGGCCACGAGGCCCGAGGTTTTCAACTTTTACAGCTTCCAGCACTTTACGACTTCCCAAAAGGCCCCCAAGACCGCCCCGAGACGGGCCAAGAGGCCCCCAAGAGTACCCCAAGGACGGCCCAAGGGGGCCCCAAGCAAACCTGCCCAAGATCTCCAGTAGCTATTCTCTCTTTCGTGAGTGATGGGGGCTCTGGGAAGGAGGCAGCTGCCCTCAAAGATTGGGGGGAAGCCAGCCGTGGCAACAAGAAGCGTCTTCACAGGGGCCCAGAAAAGGCCACACGTGGGTTGCGCTGCAGCGCAAACTCGACCCTCCTCAACGGGGTCTGGGACTGAGCGTTGCTCTTCTAAGGGGAAACGTTAGGGGGGAGACTGGCTAAAGGGGGGAAATCAAGCTGAAATCGGCGAGTGGGGTCCATGCTTCCCACCCCTGAGCCTATCCCCCCTAACGTTACCCCGTGGCTTTCGGGTCATAATTCGACTCTCGAGCGGCCGCTTGGGATGATTCTGGCACCCACAGAACGCCATCGACGAGGCGCAGTGAATGGAAATTACCCCAGGCAACAAAAAAACGTCACAAACGTCAAACAATAACACCCGAATATTTACAAACCCAATCCCCTCCTCCTCCTCCTCCTCCTCCTCCTCCTCCTCCTCCTCCTCCTCCTCCTCCTCCTCCTCCCCGCCCGCCTCCTCCTCCTCCTGCTCCTCCTCCTCCCCCTCCTCCTCCTCATCATCATCCTCCTTTTCCTCCTCCTCGCTCCAGCTCCTCCTCCTCCTCGTCCTCGTCCTCGTCCTCGTCCTCGTTCTCCTCCTTCTGCTCCTTCTCCTCCTCCTCCTCACCTCCTCCTCCTCCTCCTCCTCCTCCTCCTCCTCCTCCTCCTCCTCCTCCTCCTCCTCCTCCTCCTCCTCCTCCATTGCTCTTCCCCGAGCATCCTTGCACCATCCCGAGCAGGTTGGCCACGCTCGTCCGCGTGGTCTTCAGGTCGCTCATCGCAACGCGCAGTCCTGGCATCACCTGCAGGGGCCAGGAGCGACGACCCCCATCGTTGACCCTCGCGGATAAGGGCTGTCGGACTTCAGTTTGGATTCGGCTGCTCTCTTGGGCGTTTCCGTGGCTTCGGCGGCGACTGGACGTGGCTCGAAAGACCTGCCAAACTGGGCCACTCGAGGTTCGAGGCCCCCGACCGTGGACGATCCCCGAAGACTCAGGTTTTCGGTTGTCGTCGTGGCTTCGGTTATTCCTGTTTCCGGCGTCGGCTGGAGAAGGCTCGAAAAACTTCCCAGGCCACGCGACGGGTCCCAGAATCGCCCCTGAGGAAATCCGCAGACATTTCGGCGTGTGGAAGACGTTGTCGTCGTCGTCGTCATCACCGTGGGTCCCAAAGAATTCAGCGAACAAGTCGTAGATAAGTCGATTCTCTTCAGTTAATCCCTTCCCTGCTGGCGGGGGGGAGTCCTGAGGGATTCTTTTGGGGGGGGCTCCTGGGCCAGAATACCGCCCGCCTCTGGGGTCCTGGCGGGGGGGGGGAAGCAGTGTCAGGGGAGGAGAGTCAGGAGGAGGGAGAGAACGAGTGGGAGGAGGAGGAGGAGGAGGAGGAGGAGGATGAGGAGGAGGATGAGGAGGAGGAGGAGGAGGAGGAGGAGGAGGAGGGTTACGGAGCCCGTGGAGACCAGGCCAAGCCTGGGCACGCTTCACGTTCGAGCCTCAGGAAAGCGACGAACGCTTTTGGGGGGAAGCCCCTGCACAAACTAGAAAGCACCTCCTTCCCAGTTTTGGTGGAAGGACGTCCCAGGGGCTCCGCACGGATGGCCGAGGCCCTGGGCTGCAGCAGCAGCATGGGATCCACACTCCTCACAACAGATGACGCCACGCGTCACCCTCAAGCCACGACAACTTGCACTGTGCTGATACAGCGGATGATGCAACGGATCATCCGCCACGTGATCGCAGGGGGCCTGGGAATGGCCCTGGCCAGAAACTCAGGAGAGCCCCTCTAAGAGGGACTTTACGGGCACTGACCAGAAGTTGGAAAGACGGCCCGTGTTTCCTGGGCTAGCGCCCTCTCGCCCTCTGGCGTTGCTGACGGGTGGCGACAGAGGGGGGAAAAAAACAAATCTGGGCGCGGAGCGGGCCCTCCTATCCGCGCGGCCGCGGTCCTGGAGCAGGACTTGGCTACCTCCAAAGTGATGGCGATATGGCGACACAGCACGCTGTGGGTCTTGGAATCAACCTGATGAATGGCCTGGACATTGGCCCCTGGAGCCGCCACTCTGCTGGCAACCCATCCAGCACAGAAATCAGCACACGACAAACCCGGCCGGAGGGGGACCAAGGATCTCCGAGAGGCGCGCGTAACGGACCGTGACTGCTCAACACTCGCTAAAGCTATGTAGGGGGCCCTCAGACATCGTGGGGGGCAGGGGTCGGGCTCGCACGTGGCCCCCCACTATGGCCCCTGTTTGGGGGCGTTGGCCACTAACTTGGCTTTCGATGAGATCGGCGGCTCCCGGGAGGCAAACGACCGCGCGAACGAGTGAGCGACCCTCGACACGCGGCCGACCACGTCGGTCCATTTCCCCTCCCCTCGGACCGAGCAGCCGCATCATTTACGAAGGTCCAGATCGCAGAAGGCGCCTTAGCCTGCATGATGGCCACGCGCCGGCGCGTTTCTCCCATTATGGGTCCTAACAGAATGTCGCCAGGGAGACACCCCCAGGCGAATCCCAGACCAGGGGCCTGGAGGCGAACGTGAAGTGCACGTTTGCTAGAACAGCGGGTTCCCTCGCAGATCGTAGCATCCCTCTCCCTTGTGTGCATCCTCCTCCGTCGCCCTTGGCTTAAGGCCGCTCTAAGAGCGGCCCTAGTCTTTTGGAGGTGGGCGGGCGGGGCCATAGCTCGCTGGCCCAGCCAGAGGCGCAGCCGAGCAGTCCGAGGAGCGCTGGGCAGCGGCTTGGGGCTTGGCCAGGTCCTCCCTCCAGCGCGGGCGGGGGCTCCAGAGGGGGGCCCCGCGGCCGGCGGCGGACGCTTCCAGGCGCCCGCGGCCTGAAGGGCTGCGGCAGCAGGGAGGGACGAGGCCCGCGCACGGCTTGGAGCGCACCCTGCCTCTGGCCATGGGTGCACTGGCGACATGGCTCGACGTCTCGTTCGGAGTCAACTGGCACGCCACGGCCCATGCGTCCGCTATGACCAGACCCGAGGGAGGTCATGAGCGCGCAGGGCCTGGCGATGAAGAAGAGAAGGAACAGCCAGACCAGCCCGACAACCAGGGCGGGGCACGTTGCTCCGACGCGGGCGGAGACGAGTCGCACGCGGTCGCGCCGCCCGAGGGGCCACCTCCACCTGCGGCGCTCCCCGCACCCGCCGAACCCCCGGCCACGGACCCGCCGCCAGCCATGGCCGGTCTGGGCGGGCGCTCCGCCCATAAGGGGTCAGCGCTCCAGCGAGCACGACTACTACGGCTAATACTACTACGACGCCGCTGCCCCGCAGGTGGAGGCGAAGCCGCGCGAGGAGGCCAGCCCAGAGGCGGCGCCCGCGCCCCCGCCGCCCGCCCCCGACGCCAGCGCCACGGAGACGAGTGGAGCACCCCTGGCTCGAGGCGCGGGGGCGGGGAGAGGGGCCTCAGAGGGGGCCCCGCCCTCCCCCGCCGCCCGAGGAGCCCCGGAACGCGGGCAAAACTCGACCAGGGAGGAGAAGGCTACCCGGGCCGCGCCAGGCACCCCCCCCCCTGGCACTGCCGCATCAGCGTCGCCCATCGGATTGGCTCGGGTCAACGCGTGGGTTGAGGTGGTGCTGAAGTGGCTCGGCGAGCGGCTAGGCCGCGCCCTGGGCGCGCTGCTGCATCTGCTGATCACCTTCCTCATCGGCTTGGTCGATGCGATGTGCCAGTACCTCTTCGGCGCATTCTGGGCTAGACTACAGTTGGCAGCCATGGGCCTCGTGGCCATGGTGGTGGCCACGGTGCTCGGGTCGGCGCTGGGTGCTCGGGTCGGCGTGGGCGTGCATCTCGGTCCTCGTCGGGGCGCTGAACGGGTTCGCAGGTGGCAACAAGACGGGGCACGACGTCATGGTAGCTCTGGACGGCGACCCCACGGCCGCGCACGCATGGCACGGGCCCAGCGGGGCGGAGGCGGCGGACGAAGACTACATCAAGAGTGAGGTTCGGGCGCGTGGAGGAGGAGCCGAGAAGATGATGCTCAATGACCTCGTCGTCAAGTCTGGCAGCTCCGTTGCGCGGCTCGAACAGGGACCCCTCAGGGGCGGCCGCATCACTCGTCACGGGTACGTCTATACGTTCAGGGACGTGAGCGGCAGCTCTCACCGCCACTTGAAGACCGACCGGGAAGCTACCAGGGATGACGAGGGTGTCGGCCAGGTCCACCTGCGCGCGGCCTCGCCGTGCACACTCCCCGAGGGCGACCGGCCAATGGTGCGCGTCAGCCTTCGCGCGCGGTGAACCACCGCTCGCGAGTCAACGCGCCAGACCTGGCCATGCCCACCCCAGCGGAGCGGGCGAGGGCAGGGGGTCGAATGCGTTGCGCCTGGGGGTGCCGAGGGGCGGGGCCAGCGCGCTGCAACGCGTTCGGCTGTTGCGCGAAGAGACGCTGGAGGCGTCCGAAGCCCAGGGAGAAGCCAGGCAAGATTGAGGAGATGGAACCCAACTCGGACACCGAGTCGGGGCCCAGCGTCGACGTCTGCCAGGCCGGCCAGATCGCGCACGGGGCACGCAGGTCCTGAGCGCCAAGTGCTGTCGGGACACCGCGCGGCAGGACCCCGTCTACATGCTGGTCGAGGATGCGGCGACCTCGGACGCGCGCGAGGCGCCGGAGGAGGGCGGCACCCGCACGTTCAGGGCTCGCCCGCACCACGCGGGCATCTACGAGAGCCAGGCTGCCCCCAGGAGATACGCACGTTCTCACTGCCACCGCGAGAAGACGGTCGAGAAGGACGGCTTCTCCCTCTGCGCGGCCCGCGCTGCAGACCGAACGGTGGGACGGCGCAGCCGCTCGTGCACGCCGCAGCTGGAGGAGGATCGCAAGGCCAGCGCCCGCCGCGCCGACAGGAGAAAAACCCAGGTCTGACGGCCAGCCCTCGGGCACTGCGGCCAGGCGGGGCAGCCCGGCCAAGGCAGAGGCAGGTCCAGCCTGGCCGGTCCATGCGCGAGACCCTTTGGCGGACGCTGATGCCGAATGGGACGCATGCTACAGCTTCCCCGCGCGCTTCGTCGGCCCCGCCAAGGACAGCGCGGGCGACGACCTAAGGACGTGCGTGGAGGCCGTGGGCTCGGGGCTGACCTTCTCCACCCCGGATGGAGCTTTTCCAGCGCCCAGGGCGGAGCTCCTCGACGAGCTCGCGAGCGCCCAACCCCCCGCCATCTGCTGGAAGTCGGGGGCGGCGACCAGGCTGTCCGACCGCAGCTGGCAGAGCTGACAGCCCGTTTCCCCCATCTTCGACTTGGAGCCCCGACGACCGCCACAATGCGGAGGTCCCAAGCCCCTCGCCTACGCCCTAGAGGCCCTGGGAGCGCCCCGCAGGCGCTCCCGAGCACTGGGCCGGCCCGGCCCCAGGCCCGGGCCCCCTCCCAGGCCCGCCCCCGTCGGGGCCCAGGCCGGGCGCGCCGCGGGGGCTGGGCTTTGCCGGCTTCGGGGAGCGGCCGCCAACGCTGCAGACGCCCGCGACCTTCGACCCGAGCGCGTTCCACGGATCGGGCGGGGCCAGCTCGACCTCCCCTTGGGCCGAGAGGCAGCCCCAGCAGCCGCCATTCGCGGAGCGGGCCACGCGGCCGCGCGAATTGCATGCAGGAGCCTCTTCGATGCCCCAGGCGGAGCGGATCTTGAGGGCCCCACAACCTGAGTCGGAGCTCGGCATAGGGTTGCAAAACCTGGTCACGGAGCCGGGCCGGGCGGAGTCGGGCGGCGCGGCCAAGGGCACCATCGCCAGCATCGGCCGCGCGGAGGAGCAGCTGGTGTACATGGCGAGAGGATGCGGTGTCTACACGGTCACACTTTGCCCGG